TATACACGTGGGCAAAAGTCACACACACACACACACACACACACACACACATATAATTAAAAAAAAAACAAAGAAAAATCAACAGGGCTAGGGATGCAGCTCAGTTGGTAGAGTGCATTCACAGCATGCTTGAGGCCTTGGGTTCCATCTGCATAGACCAGGTGTGGGGACACACACCTGTGTTCAACATCATCCTCATAGTGAGTTCAAGGCCACCCTGGAATATGTGAGGCCCTGTCTCAAAATAAGATACAGCAGGAGCCCGGCGTGGTGGCACACGCCTTTAATCCCAGCACTCCAGAGGCAGAGGTAGGCAGATCTCTGTGAGTTCGAGGCCAAGTTCCAACAAGCCAGGGAGACCCTGTCTCAGAAAGACAAAAAAAAAAAAAAAAAAAAAAAAAAAAAAACAACAAAAAAATGATACAGCACAAACCGGGCATGGTGGCACACGCCTTTAATCCCAGCACTTGGGAGGTAGGGGCAGACCCATCTCTGTGAGTTTGAGGCCAGCCTGGTCTACATAGTGAGTTCTAGGCCAGATGGGGCTACGGGGAGACCCTGTCTCAAAAAGACAAAGGAGAAAAAATAAAAAGAGGGCTCATGGTACTGCGCCCTGTGCAGTGCACTCCCCAGTGGGCCCTGCCACCCTCTGCTCACTTGGCTGAAACCTCCTGCTTCCAGTTATGGTAGGCCTTTCTAGAAAGTTCCTGAGGTGCCATAGGACCTGTGTGCCAATCGGAGGCAGGACTGTCAGTCCCCACTGACTAGACTGGGGCCACAGCAGATCCTCAACTTAAATCTGCTGTGGGTGAGGGGGTGTGCGTGGACATGGCTCAGGGCCACATGCCCACCTAATTCAAGACTTGCACATGCAAGCACACTTTCGGTGTGTGTGTGTTCATGTGTGGAGGCAGAGGAAAACCTCAGGTGTCCTACCATGCGCCTTGTTTTGTTATTTAATTTTATTTTACGTGTACAAGTGTTTTGCCTGTATTATGCCTGTTTATGTACCAGAAGAGGAGACTAGAGGCAGGCACCACAGTGCTGGGAACTCAACTTCTACAAGAGCAGAAAGTTAATTGCAAAGCCATCTCAATAGCCTCCACCTTGTTTTTGGTTGTTTTTGAGGCAAGGTCTCCCACTGCCCTAGTACTTCCCAAGTCAGCTAAGCTGGCTGGCCAGAGTCCCAGGGATCTTCCTCCTCAGGACTGAGATTGCTAGTGTGTGCAACCAGACTTGGTTTTTTTGGTCTTTTTGAAACAAGTTCTCCCTGTAGCCCCAGCTGGCCTGGATTTGCTATGTAGACCAGGCTGGCCTCGATCTCACAGAGATCAGCCTGCCTCTGCTTCCCAAGTGCTGGGATTAAAGGCGTGCGCCACCACGCCCAACTAGGCTTGGCCTTTTAAAAGATGTTCTTTATTATTTATTTTTATTTATCTATTTAATATTTTTGTTTGTCTGTTTTTTAAGACAGTGTCTCCCTGGAGACCAGCTATCCTGGAACTTGATCTCACAGAGATCTGCTTGCCTCTGCCTCCCTAGTGCTCAGATTAAAGGTTTGTGTCACCACCTGGTCTTCATTATGGGTTTGAGCAAGTGAATGCAGTACCTACAGAGGCCAGAAGAGGGCGTCAGATTCCTGGAGCTGGAGCAAACAAATGCCGGGACCTGAACTCAGATCCATAACGGCAGTATGCACTATTTATTAACTGTAGAGCTGTCTCTCAAACTCCACACCCAGCTTTTATGTGCGTTCTGGGGATCAAACTCAGGCCCTCATGCTTACAAAGCAAGCACTTTATGGATTGAGCCATCTCCCCAATCCCAGCATGCCTTGAATGCATGTGTGCATGCTGTGCCCATGGGTGCACTTAGCTTGGATGTGCTCCTGCATACAGCAAGCACATGCCCCAGCCACTGCTTCTCTGAGGTCCTGTGAACAAGGTGCTCAGGATCTGGAAATGCCACCTTGGTGACCTCAGCTTAGCCAGCAGCCTGATGGGGATCTCCCAGCCAGGGCCACCACAGGAAACACATGACCGACTCAGCAATAAACTGTACTTCAGTGTGACCAGCTAAGGCAAGCCACTTCCAAAGCTCAGGCTCTGATTGGTTTCTGTACTGCAGTGAAACCTCATGACCCCTTTTCCCTATGGCAACCAGTAAGAAATGCTGGGGCTACAGCCTGTGTGAGAATTCGAACCCAGAGCCAGACTTCCCGGTAACTGCTGGGACACTCTTCACGTGCCTGGCCACATCTGACTGTGGAGATGAAATAGCTGCACCCAGCAGCAGCCCCTTGTGTCCTTAGTGGATAATTTGACAACTTGGGGAGCCCTGACCCCAGTTTCCTAGAGCCCAAAGGTTGTGCTGGAGAACAGTAAGAAGCTGGTAAAGACAGCCACAGGCATAAAGTGACTAGGAGCCAGTGAAGCTCGAAACACATCTACCAACCAATCACATTTTAGCACTAGTTCAGACAGCACCAGTACCTTAAAAGGGGACAGGAGAGAAGCGGGTGGGAAAGAGGAAGACTCATTTCTCCTCTACTAACTTCTGAAAAGCAACCAAACCAGCAGGGCCCAGGCGATGATTCGTCTTCCAAACGAGGACCGAGAGTTCTGGCCTGGCTCTGCGCGTCCTGTCTGTGTGGTCAGACCTAGGAGGGCTTCACACCCTGCCCTGGCTGCCTTGGACTTCATCATTTCCAGAGAAACCTCTATCTACCAGAGGGGCGGGGTGGGGAGTGCCACCCACAACCTGCCAGCCACCTCAATGTAAAAAGTTCACAGAGAAGGGTCTGGAGAGATGGCTCGGCAGTTAAGAACACTGGCTGCTTAGGACCCGAGTTCAAGTCCCAGCATCCCCATGGCAGCTAACAACCATCTGTAACTCCAGTTCCAGAAGAAAGGACATCCTCGTCTGGCCCCATGAACATTGTACACACCATGCACTTACATACATGTAGGCAAAACACTCATGCAGATAAAATAAAAATAAATTCAAACTAAACTCTATTAAAATGTTTAAGTTATTAATTTATAAAAACTATGTATGTTATTCTCTCTTTTTTTGAGACAGGGTCTCTCTATAGCCCCAGCTTGTAGACCAGGCTGGCCTCCATCTCACAGAGATCTGCCTCCTGAGTGCTGAGATGAATGGGGTGTGCTACCACACCAGACCAATACATGTTATTCTTAGAAACTATATTGGTATACACACATTTTGCTTATAAGTTTGGCTGGGTGTGTGTTTTGTTTTACATTTTATATGTATATTATTAAAATTTTATTTTTAAAAAATTTAAATAAGGGTCTAGAGAGATGGCTCAGCAGTTAAGAGCACTGACTACTCTTACAGAAGACTCGGGTTCAGGTCCCACCACCCACGTGGCAGCTGACAACTGTCCCTAACTCCAGTTCCAGGGGATCTGACACCCTCTTCTGACCTTTGGGGGCATTGCAGGACATGGGTGCACTTATACACATGCAGGCAATACATTCATACACATAAAATGAAAATAATATGCCGGGCGTGGTGGCGCACACCTGTAGTCCCAGCACTTGGGAGGCAGAGGCAGGCGGATCTCTGTGAGTTCAAAGCTAGCCCGGTCTACATAGTGAGTTCCAGGACAGCTGGGGCTTACAGGGAGACCCTGCTTCAAAAAGACCAAATAAAATAAAATAAAATAAAAAATAAAAAATATTTTTTAAAAATTTAAGCCCGGTGTGGTGGCGCATACCTTTAATCCCAGCACCTGGGAGGCAGCGGCAAGACCACTTCTCAATAAAAGAACTGGGTCTGCCTCTGCCCAGTGCACCTGCTGTCAGACCTCAGTCCACTCTGACCTCTGTTCTCACACTCCCGTAAATGTTCTTGTATATTTTGGGGCACTGGGGATCAAACCCAGGGCCTTGGGCACCCTAGACAAGAGGTCTACCCCAGAGCTAGATCCTGAGCCACCCCATCCATCAGTCAAACAAGAGACCAGAGGGAACTGTGAAACTGGTCCTGCCCCCACTAACACCCTGGAAACAGGAACCTGGGGAAGTGTGGAGCAAATGTCCTGGCTGGCTAGAAGCCAGCTCCTTCAGCACAGGGCTGGGTATCTTTGTTCTCCCAGGAGCAATGCCCACTCAGGGTGCTTCACACCAGTAGATTCAAGGCTGGGTGAGGCAGGGTGGTAGACAGTACAAGGGCTGA